ACCAGTAAATCAGTGTAATGAGATGTATTCACCCTATTTTGTGTAAGGTGATGAAGGACTGGTAGTAGAACTTTCCCACAATGATATGAGTTTAGCTGACTTTTCCATGGAAAAGTCAGCTAAACTCATATCATTGTGGGAATTGTTAATTGTTTCTCACAACTTTCACTGAATGCCGTAGTCGCTTCTACAAAATGAGAGAAAGATAGAGGTTGGGGCGATGGATGAATAGGAAAGGAGATCAAGGCAACAGCAGGTAGATAATTCGATGCAAGATTGACGATCTTTAAAGGCTTGAGAAGCCTCCCTTGGCATCAAGGAGAGCAAAGGAACAGAAATTATTGTTCCCCTTGATAGTATTCTGTTAGGATGATCTTTTCCACTGATGGATCACCAAAGGATCAAGGAGTACAGATGGTGGTTTGCCGCGTATGGAGGCGATGATAACACTATAATGGTGTGAATTTAAGAGGATAGCTACATGTTTAGCAGGACTCAACCATCACATACGTTAAAGCTGTAACCTCCTCTTCCAAGCTCTGACTAACAATATTCTTTTCGGAAACATGAAGCAAATAATCCACACATAACAAGTCTAAATGGCCAATCGACTGACAAATTGTTGTGCTTGTGCTTTAGATGCCCTTTACTGTGTCAGGAGCCGACTAGAGCGTTAGGCTAATAATTACTATTGAATACCAATCATCAGAACATTAAGTGCTCCCATGTTGTCTACAAGGCTTTAGAACATTGACCTATACTTATAGTTACGGCAATTGAAGCTCTTGAACTCGTACTTTTATCTCACTGACTGTTTTCTTGCCAAACTCTTAGATCCGTGCTCATGTGCGGCGAGATTATACAATCAACTTGAAACATCAGTTCACCAGCGCTGGCAACAAGACGGTCAAGGTAACTCTGCAAGCCTACTCCGCCATTTTTCAGCCAACTCCGTTGGTTATCCAAACCAGTATAATCGTTGAGCCGGATTTACTAAATTGCACTATAAGTGATGTAATAATAGAAAGTACAAAGTCTTCTATGCTGGCAGTAAGCTGCAACGAAGGTGAGTGCCTAGGACTGGGAAACTTCATTCATTCACCTTTTCCCAACCATCTCGATTATTAAATATTTTAAAGCCCCCGGGTTTTGTATGATATGTTTCAAAATGTGCTAGGAAAGGAGATACTACTTGTCAATTCGTAGTAAAAGAAGGTATAGTTTAAAGCCTAATTATTAACGAAAAATAAGTGACGTAGTCGATTGCTATAACAAATATAACTTTGCTTCATCGGCATTCTCCTCGAAGAATAGGAAATGTTAAATTGTCTGGCCTTCCCTGAAATTCTCAACTCCCCTATGACCCAATGACACTCGTCGTATTGTGGCGGAGTGGTTAATGTGCAGAGATCATTAACTATTGTATCATGCATCAAGTTCCGTTGTGAATATTGATAAGATCTATGCAAGTTCGAAGCTGAAGTCCACCCTGGATGAATATAATTTTTGGGAAAGCAAAGCTATGTGAAATTCATTGAAATTCAACTACCAGTATCCGTATCACCCTAAGCGAAATAGGAATTTTAAAAAATATTAAAATATTTTTTTAGTGAATTGAATGTCAAATAAATTGTTAACAAAAAATTATTCTGCTAAATGAAAACCCTTAATTTTTATTTTAAAAAAACCCATGATATTTATGAAATTTGTATAAAAGCTAGATTAAGGGAGGAAGATAGAAAACCCTAAATAGAATACATTATTAGATCATCTGGCTAGTAATGGATTTGATGCATATACATGCATTAGGCAAGACTCTCCTTATTCGTTGCCTGGTTTCAAAAACCTCCATAGTTTCGGTTGTTGACCATTTTAGTTGTGCTCCTTGATCTGGATCCGAATAGGGGTGGATATTCTAGAATTTCTAATAGCCAACACCCGACTTGAGCGAAGCGTCTGGCTACAACTGACTTCAAAACCTGGTGCAGATTTAGCATTGAAGAATGTCGGAAGATCCTAGCACACTCTCCTCCTCCCCATAATTGCAGTCTGTACGAAGCATAAGTGTGCATACACAATTCATAGTTCACAAAGCAAACTCTTATTTAAGGAAAATACAACCCCTTGGACCAATTTTCTCGTCCTCTTCTCCCCTCCGTGTGACTTCATGTACATAAATACGGGTTCACCTTATTGAGACAAATCCCCACTAAACTTACCTAAATACCATTATCTGTTCTGCAGCACAGTGATAGTTGAGCTAAAACAAACAAACCCCATGTTGGAGCAGTTCTGGAGGCATGTCGGTGTGGCCTAAAACGCTACATATTCTAAACGAGAGATCACTCAAGAAAACTATACAAGGAAATCTTTACAGGCACAAAGAGAACTTACAACGGCATGTTGAGCAGATTTTTATCATTTTAATATAGTTTTGTGGATCTTTATGCAATATGAGATGTATTCACCCTATTTCGTTTAAGGTGATGATGGACTGGTAGTAGAATTTTACCACAATGATATGAGTAGACCTGATGTTTCCATTAAATTTCACAGAGCCTTGCTTTCCTAAAGGTTTTTCTCATCCAGAGTGGACTAAAGTTTCGACCTGCATGTGAAATTCAATAGAAACGTCAGCTCTACTCATATCATTATGGGAAAATTCTACTATCAGTCCTTCATGATCTTAAACGAAATTTGGTGAATACATCTCATATTACTGATTATCTGGTAGTCTAAAAACTCTACTTAAATACTAAAATTTGTTATATGTAGCATTTTCCATTTCTCTTGGATTGGAATAATTGCCACTCCGTCCACAATAAATAAAACCATTTCTAGGTATCCGCTAAAAGAAGCTGTTATTTATAGCAAACTAAGTGATATATCGATTTATGGCACAAACGTATCGTTGCCAATTGTTACATAATTAATAATAAGATTATGCTTTTTAAGTCATACTTCTCGAAAAAGACTCTTTGGGGCAGGAGCCGTTCGGCCAAGAGAGTAACGTATTTCCACCTGGACCAACACATCCACGATTTGAACACCGCTTGGGTGCTGAGGAGATGATGGGTCGACTAATGCCACTCTTGACGATACTGGCGCTCTGTTTTTTCTTATCATCAAGTTCTCCTGCTTGGAATTCGTGTGCCATCGGAAATCAAGTTTACAATATCATTGGAACATATGCGAACAAAAGTTGGGTTTCGAGGAATCTCTTGTTTCATAATTGTTGAGCTTATTTCCATTTCGAGTGAAAGTGTTTTGTGAAGAGAGTCGAAGGTCGGTTCCACCAGAAGACGATAGCGGATTCCTCCGGACCAGCTGTCGATTGACTTTACTGGAACATTCATGCTGACTCTGTTTCCGAGGTGATCTTTTCTGAAGTGAAAAGGTGTAAACTTTCGTCCGTCATATGACGAACATCATCAGAGCAAGGCATCATCGTCACAACAAAATCCAAGCTAACGAGTCAAGACGGACGAAAGCTTAGCATCTTTTTACGGAAATCGAAGGAGGTTACCTCGGAAACAGCGTCAGCATGAATCTTCCAGTAAAGCCAATAAATAGCTGGTGAAGAGGAATTCGCCGTCGTCTTCTGGTGCAACCGACCTTCAAATCTCTTCTTCCAACACTTTCACTCGAAATGGAAATTAGCTCAACAATCATGGGAACAGCCTACAACTTGTGGCGAAACAGCAACATAGATTTCCACGGAGTACGATTAAGCAGAGCCTCAAGGCGACTGACATAAATAAATCACGACGTAATAAGACGACACAAATTAATGGAGTCAATCTATAAAAACCTTAAGAATATCAAAAGTTTTAAAATCTAGATACGAAGAGAAACTTGGTTTCGATGAATCTACTGAGATAACATTGTTAGGGGGACCTTCATTTCGAATCTCTTCATAATGTACTTTCATTCGAAATAAAGGTCCCCCTAACAATTTTAAAATCTAAACAGCCGATTTCTCCGGAAAACCATTTTTCAACAAAGTGAAATCTTTTCTTACATACTGTACTTAACTATTGTTTATAGTAAAACAAAGGCCACCTGTAAAGCTAAATAGTATCGTAGACACCGTCCCTTTTGCTGCTTCAGTTATATACTGTAATCCCCACTACGGCATAATTCTTAAGGACTCGTGCCTTCCACATTCTGTATCTCCTCATTCCATTGCCTTGCCTAGTTCTGGTGTTAGGCTGGAACCAAGCTAAATGGTTAAATGCTGCTCCCCTGCACTTGCCGTGTTTAATTCCATTTTCCTCTTCCTTCTCCAAAGATGGCTCGTTTAAATCGGCAATCTGGAACTTTGGGGATTCAACTCCACTCGTGCGAACCACAGAAGCAAATGTTACTCACACGTATGCTGCACCAGGCCGATACAACTGCACAGTTCAGATTCATGGCTTAAAAAAGACGGTATTCACCTGGAAAATGATGGCTGTCCAAGAACGCATAGTTGCCTTCAATATTTCAGCCCCAAAGCCTGTTGTTGGAGTAAACAGTAATTCTAAAATAGGATTACTCACCTAAAACGGTCAAATTTGTTCAGCTTCACAAATCTTGTTTTGAACTTAAGCGATGCTTTCCACCATTTAAATTTACATTAAATTTTACTATATTAATTAGGCATAAAGTTGCCAGCACTTAGCTATTAAATAAAGCTTGTGATTGCATAAATTCGATGATTAAGAAAAAATCTATCTCTTTCTCGATT